TCGGACCTTCACCACAGCTACCCTTGAGGTCTGTGAAGGAACAGCAGACCAGGTATTTTTTTTCCTCAGCGTGCTCTGAGAATGTGGATCGATGTAAGCAACCTCACACGAGACGTTGTTTGTTGTTGCGTTGCTGAAGGCACCAGGAGATAATGGCTCATGTGTCAATTCAGACAACATCAAGGTTTGCATACAGTGGTTGGTGGATATAGGAACCACCATCAATTCAGGCTACAATAATTTATTGAACAACTAACTAGATCGCACACAGAACCACATAAGCAGCTGTTGGCTGGGTGGTCCTGTATGTTCACAGACATCAGTGGAAACCTTGACACATGTTGCAGCTGTAAATACACTGTATATACCCTGCTTAGTACAGATGTACAGTAAGTGTACTTTTCAGTACATATAATAACATACTATATAATGGGCACCTTCTTTAAAAACACAGAAACAGGTGCACATACTGACACTAATGTTTTGGATGGGTATAGTTACTTACTCCATGAGCAACTTATTTGCTCTGTAGAATTCTCTTCATACAAAAATGTTCAGTCAGCAGTCTTTGGACCACATACCTTTTGAAAACGTGGTATGCAAGATTTCTGGAGCACGCAGAGACAATCTCATAATCCTGTCCCTCTAAAAACTGCCTCCCCCCCACAGAGAAAAACGAGCCTTCATTATATCGTGGGATAAGCGAAACCCAGTTTAGCATAGTGTAATGACTGTGGTGCCCTCTCAACCTAGGAGGTTGATTGCCGAGGAACATTTTTATATGAGTCATTTGTATTGCAAATTACAGAGGCCTGTATTTCCACAAAGGTATGTGCAGTATTTACCAGAGCTGTTTTAGATAATGTCTAAGGCCTTGGAGCAAGAGTAGGCTGCTATGTGTGGGAAGGTCCTTAACTAGATTCCCTTGTATTGCAGTGTATATATATATCTGTTGCTTGGTCTCCTGCAAAGAGAACATGAACCTTACATGATGATATACATGATAAGCCTTTTTCTTTCTGTATGTCATCTAGGAAAACTGAGCAGTTCCCAAAACACAGGATTTAGAGTTACAAAACATTTCTTTTCTGTAGAGTTTGGAGCACTTCTGTCGTCCTTTGCTGCCTGATCTTAAATTGAGTTTAATATTAGGAGATTTCATAATTTATTATGGCTTTCCACACTGTTTTTTTTAGCAGGACTGGGCATTTCTGAACATCCAGCTACTTGTTTTAATTGGAATGTTTTGGTCACTGCTTATCAACAAACACAGCTTCAGGTCCATTACTTCAGTTCTGCTTTCCAAATCCTTGGAAGAAGCCTGCATTCCGGAATTCTGCTAAAAGGTGTAAAAGTGTAATCTTGCATTTATGCACATACTTGGGATACTTTACTGGAAATTTGCATGCTGAGAAAGCAAAAGCAAAGAGTGTTCCCACTAAAGGTTGAAGGTGAAGGTGATTACAGTGTCCAATGCTCTGTAAACAAACTGATTTGGGATCGCTAATGACAGGGTTTGGGATTTGGGGAATGTTTTCTTGCAGAGGCAAAGATAAAAAGAACATGGTTTTGAGAACAGACTGCCTTTCTTGTAGCAGACTGCTTGCTCATCTCATGTCTTTGCACTTCTGAATGGAATTTATTGTGTTGAGAGATTTTATTTCTTTTATTGCTTTCCATTCCTTCTGAGACAGTTTAAACACATTATTCCGGTTCTCTTCTGCCACTGACATCTCTGCTTATAATCAAATTCCAAGCTTTCAGTTGTAAAATTAAGTAAAACTGCAAGTGCTTTGACTAGAAAATGTATTAGGTTTTTTTCGCCTGTTTATTGGATCATAAACCCATTTAGCGGTAGGTTTGTGCTCTTTATGAATGATGGCTATGTTAAATTACTGACGCATCAAACTGTATTGCCAGTTCAAATGTCAGTGCTATGTAACTGTCAGTGATGCAAAGCACAGCCTTTTTTCACACTGATATTTGCAAGATGATGTCAAGAGAGAATTAAAACTTTGAAGATTCAAAAGTTCTTTCACCACACAGTAGAGACAGACACACATCTTTGTTTTGCAGCCCAACACCTGTTTCACCAAGAAGGTAATTTTCCTATTCATACATGAATGCCCATAAATTACTGATTGTGACTCAGGCTTACTGTTTTCAATACCTGAATCCTAACCTTTGTGTCATTTTCCTAGACCTTCATCCTGCAGTTATCTTTGATGATCTGAACACTACCCTGATAGCATGAGGTCCTGCGGTTTAATTTCTGCATGTCCCATCGCTTCCTTTGTGTTTGTTTTAATGGAGGTTTAATCTCAGAGCCGGAGCTGAAACCTTTTAAGAAGAACGAAGCTGAATAAACTGCTCATTAAAGAGCATAGCAATTTCCCTAAGACATAAATAAGATTTGTTTAAATCTTTTCTTAAGCCTCAGTATAAACACACAGAAAATGCCACCATTGTTTGGAAAAGCTTGGCTTTGCTTGCAGGACACTAGTGCCACTGGCAAACTCACATTTTGAGCAGGAAGTGTCCTGAGAAGGATTTCCGTCTGAGTCATTTCTGATACACACTGTTTCCCATTTCATCAGTGGAATTCAATCTGAATTATATTTTTTTTGAGGGGGCACAATCCCACAGTGGTTAGCATCGCTGCCCTGCAGCGCTGAGGGGCTGGGCTGCATTGTGGGCCTGGAGGTCTGTCTGCACAGAGTGTGCATGTTCTTCCTGTGTTCATGTGGGTTCTCCAGTTCCCTTCTACAGTCCAAAGGCATTCTGCTGGGTTCATTTGCTGTAGGGAATTATCTGTGTTTGTGTCCATGTGTCTTTCTGCCATGCGGTATATATGGGCATCTTGTCCCATGTCTACCCACTGTTGCGTGGGCTCCAATATGGACTCCAGCTCCCCCACGGCCCTGAGCTGGATGGATGGATATTTTTTGTCACACCTGCCCCATAGCTTTGGAGGGAAACTGTGGGTCTGTACAGTTCATGAACTTTTAATGAGCCCCGATGTACTGAAGGCCAGCTACTGGTAAAATTCCTTGTGACCTTAACTATCACATTGGAAAGAAGACAATTGTCCTAACGCTTTGACTTTGACACAGTGAGAGAGCAGTTCTGAGCAGCAGGCAGTGAGACTCGAATGATGATATGTTTCGTGTGGCACATGTCTGTAAATGTTCCATAAATTGTTATTGCTTTGGTAGCATGGATGGATGCTGGTCTTGCCGATACATCTCTTTGATTTTGAGGAGCATCTCCCCTTTGATTTTCTTGAAATGCTGAGCTGGTCTGTGCTCTAACACAAAACCAGACTGAGAAAGCAGAGTGAACTCCCGTCCTGTCAAAGGAGGGAGATTGGTGCCATCTTCTGTCCACAGCACAGCATTGCATATAGTCTTTTGTCATTTGTCTTTTGCATTTAGTCATTCTTGATCCTCACCCTGTGAACTAAATGTCTTAAGCCACAATACATTTGTTTTTGGTGTTGAACCTGATTATTTCCAGGACTTCTGGATCTGCTGAAGTCAGTGTGATTACACATCAATGCTCATTCTAGATCTAACAAACATTATTAAACAACTTAAAACATATCTTGATGTGATATTTCTCTTAAAACACTGATTCTTATTTGCAGACAGATTTACTGTAGTCTGTATTTGTTGTTTTTTTTATTGCTATATGAATAAACAGTAGGAAACTCTTTACAGTCCTTCACTATTAGAAAAGAATGAGTAAGTTTAGAAGTAGGAGGAGTTCATCTGGCTCATGTTGATGGTAGCAGTGAATTGCTTAAATCAAAGATCTCATTCAGTCATTTTTTGAAAGATTATCAGCTTCAGTAACATGGCTTGGTAGCTTATTCTAGACACCTGCAGCAGTAAAAACAGTGGCTCCTGTTCTCCATTTGAAATGCACGGTACCAGAGTTTCCACTTGTCTCCTCTGGTTCATCTTTCCCTGTCAATTGTTACTTTGTCAGTGCCTTTAAGGATTTTAAATAGTGTAGTCATGTCCCCTTATAGTCTTTATAAAGATAAATGTCTTTTGCCTGCTGAAGTAGGCCTTGCCTTTGTATAGGTATGTATCAGTCATTCTTTTCTTGACTGATTACAGAACTGCAATGTCTTTTTTGTACAGTGAAGAGCAAAATTGTATCCTTCTGTTTATTCTAGATGAGGCCTCAAGAGTACGTGTAATCTTTCTTCTGTAATACAACATTTATCCATGTTTAATGCTGTTTGAGGCAGCGGTATTTGGGACATTTTTTTCGCTTGGGGGAAAAAAATTCTTTTGGGATTATTCAATTTGTCGATCGAGCCATGAAGATGTCATGAATGTAAGACACTCATATTGAACCACATCATTATCTCAGTGTCTCAGATTCCTCCGCCTGATTCTTTCCAAAATCAACATTTTTCTCCTGGAGGTCGTGAGCATCTGTCTGAACAGGGTTAGTTCTGAAGCAGAAGCTCGGGGCTCTGCTGCGTGGGGTCAGGGGCAATTAACACTCCCTGCGGACTGCTCTGCTCTCCTGCCTAGATCTCCTGTACCCAGCAACTCTTTTCAGTTTGAAGACATTCTTGCCCACGTTTGTATGTCTTGAACGGTATGTTTCGGACACAGAGCACAGGACATTTTTACTCAGTGAGGGAGTCTGAAAACCTGAACTTCCTTCGCCTCCTCTTCCTTCATCTTCTTCTTCTTCATTTAGTCTTCTTCTTAGTGATCACCCTGATAACTAAGTTTACACTGAGTATTTTAAAAAAAGTGTTTAAAGTTGAGAAACTGAAGGTGGCCACTTTCGTAAAAGCTTCCTTCTGCAACATCTGGACACAAGGACCTACCATGTATAGCAAAATAGAAGAAAAACACAATTGAAGAATTCCTAGGTGATTTTTTTTCCCCATGTGATCCTTTTCCTGCGTTGTCCCAAAATTACATTAATCTGCATTATTAAACCGTTCTTTGGCTCTTCTTTCATTCCCACAGGAACAGCCTCTGTTGCTGTGGCTGGCCTCCTTACTGCCTTGAAGATCACCAAGAATAAGCTTTCTGACCACAAATTTGTCTTCCAGGGGGCTGGAGAGGTGAGTTCATATGTAGTCTCTTCTAACTTGGCTTTCTCCGTCCAACTATTTTCTAACTGCTTCATCTAATTCAGGGTCACAGGGGAGCTGGAGTCTGTCCCAGTAAGTAGTGGGCACAAGGCAGGGTACACCCTGGACAGGGCACCAGTCTATCACTGGGCAAACAGACACACACACACTCACACCAGGGCCAGTTTTCCCAGAAGCCAGTTAACCTCCAAGCATGTCTTTGGACTGTGGGAGGAAGCCGGAGGACCCAGAGGAAACCCACATGAACACGGGAAGACCATGGCGTACCACAAGGATCTGTATGAGGACCACAGCTTTTCCTGATTTATTTCAATGATCTATATTTTGACATAGTTTGTGAAATAGTCGCAGTTGTTTGCAGATGCTCCCAAAACAGGATGATAAGCAAACACTATAGAAGCTACAGTACAAAGGAAACTGAACAGGTCATTGCTTAAACACTTGAACACTGGCCAAATGCCTGGCAGATGAGTTTTAATATAGATATGCACAGAGAGTTACATGGAGGCAGTAAAAACATAGACAAATTAAGGAACAAGTAAATGTTGACTCCTCACTGAAAATTTGAAAGAAAAAATACAACCTTTTGGATTGCAGATATGTAGCTTTTAGAGTTTTGAAGATGCTGAAGGTAGTCTCAGATAGAGTTCAGTTGCTTGAGTTCCCAATAAGCAGCTCTGCTGCCTGGCAGTGTTAGCAGTGATGGATGTTAGTAGCTTAAAGAGGAGCTTAGGTTTTGTTTGTGTTTGTTTTGTGTTTTTTGGCTTGTTTTCCTCACGTTGTCAGTCAGGAGCTCTGCTTTGTTACCTACAACTTTGTGTGTCTGTTTTCCTGGGCACACCTATTTGAAAGATCTGTGTGAGTCACAGGCTGTTAAGCATTTTTCAGGTGTGAGGTCTAGCAGCTGAGACATTATGTTCTTTCTACTTTTCCTTTGCAGCCACGGCACACTGACACAGCACCCCCTCAAACCGTGATTGAACTAGCTACCCCTCACAAAGACGTAGACGTTTATGTTGACACATCTTTTTCAACGTTTCGACAGTGTGGGAAATCAATAAAAAAGGCAACAGTGTTAAGATACATAGCTAAGAGTGTTAGAATTGAAATCCAGATGTTAAGGTTCGCTGAATGAATCCCTTTCATTTGGAATCATTCTTGTTTTCCTTATGCAAAAATGATCATTTATATATGTAAAAAGTATAACTTTTTATTAAAGTGAATGTAAATCATGGGGTTTTAAAAGGGTACTATACACAAGGAGGACCTCATTTAGAGTTTTGTGCTCAGTTTTGATCACCACAAGATCAGAATGAAATTGCAGCTCTGGTATCTGTCCAGAGAAAAGTGATTAGATCTTACTGAGCTCAAGGCAATAACCTACACTGACAAACTATGGTTTCTAAGGTTATATAGGCTCAGTGTGAAGATATATGCAATGAATACACGCACAAAATCATCTCCAGGTTTAAAAGAAATTGGAATGCAGTAAAGATGAAGGCGTTTCTATAGCACTCTGGCTTGCGGCATTGTGTGATCTAGCGCCCCCTTGTGTTTGCAGGCTGCCATGGGGATTGCCCACCTGATTATCATGGCAATGGCCAAGGAAGGGATTTCCCACGCTGAGGCTGTCAAGAAGATCTGGATGGTGGACTCCAAAGGGCTGATTGTCAAGGTATTCCTGTCCCTAGCCCTTGGGCTGTCACCCCTTCCACTGCCATGTGGGTCTGTACAGTGAATGCTCCATAGACCTACTAGAAAGAGCATCTCAGCAAATTAGTAAGAAGCCTTGTGGCTGTTTATGGAGCACCGAAACTTCTCTTTGTGTTTGGATGTTGTACTCTTTCGTTCTATTTTTCAAGTGAGAAAAAGAGCAAAACTATAGAAGGTTCAAGTATGGACCTGCGTCAGCATGCGTAGGCTGCAAAGCAGCAAGTAAAGGTTTATGCCGTGCTGAAAAAAGAAGAAAGGAAACACAGCGTTTCGGCTTCAGGTGTGAGGAAGGCTCCACAGCCAAAACTATAGAAAGATATTTCCACAGATTGTCCACCAGAACATTAAAGAAATGGGGGTCCCTGTTTTTTTTTACCTTTGTTGTTGTAAGTGTTTTATTTCAAAGTACCTCTCTGGGGGTATTATTCTGTGACAGGTTGTGGCCATTCCTCAAAGTCCTCCGGAGCGGAGGATGGTTGAGGGCAGGTCCTCCACACCGGCGATCTGATCTGCGAAGCAGGTGCTGGCCGCCCTGGTCAGGACTGGTCGGGATCTGCTGGCTTCCTCTGGTTTCTGACGTGTGTGGTGTTGTGATTTGCAGGGCAGAGGACACCTGAACCATGAGAAGGAGGAGTTTGCCCAAGATCACCCCCATGTGAAAACGCTGGAGGAGGTGGTGCAGACCGTCAAGCCCACAGCCGTCATAGGTAGGCAGGGCACAGCGAGAGCTGGGCATTGCTTAGTAAGACCGTCTGGCTAGATCCAGAGTTCAATAGAATTATGTTACGTGGCAGTTTATAAGAACCTCCTTTTCACATAATGAGAACACTCTTTATTTCTTGTTTGGTGCTACTAGGTGAATGCCTGTATTTTCCTATTATTTTTTTTAAGAAAGGAGTCAACTGGGTAAGAAGAGAATAGCACTTGCTCAGTGATTTATGTAGTAAAAATGATCTCTTTCCTATTAGCTAGTCTGTGATGTCCAGGGTGCAGTGAATTTATACACTGTCAGGTGATGGCATTAACCACATGAGGCCAAGCAGCCTGACTACAGTTCATGGGCAAGCACACTCTTCACAGAGCCTAGACTCCAGGCATTGATTGTGCATATGAGTAAACTATCCTTCCAAATGTCACCAGCTATTAATCTCACCAGGAATTCTTCCTCTGTCTCAGAAGCCTGTTGCCTGCTGCTGTAGCTCAGGTGAAATCTCTCTGATGTTCTTGAGTGGAGATGTTGGGGGGACGGTGGCTATTGTGTTGTAATTTGTGTGTGTGTTTTAATTCATAATCATTTGCGAGTAACAGAATAACTACTTTATGATGCAAGTGCATTGGATTGCAGTAAACCCTCTGTGTTCACAGGCAGTGGTTAAAAGCACAATGTCATCTTCATCGTAATGTGGGTTGAAAACTAATTGGGATGTGAAAAGGAATTGTGGAGAGTGTCTTGTCATGGCGTCGCCCGGCTGTCAGCGGCTGAACACAACCCCCGATCTTGTTTCCAGGCGTTGCTGCCATCGGAGGGGCGTTCACAGAGAAGATCATTAAGGACATGGCCTCTTTCAACGAGAGGCCCATAATATTTGCCTTGAGCAACCCCACCAGCAAAGCCGAGTGCACGGCCGAGCAGTGCTATCGCCTGACGGAGGTACGCCACGCCCCCTGAGCCCCAGTGTGCTCAGCTCTGTGCATCTCAGCATGGAGGTCGGACGTGCTCAGTGTTGTCATTCACAAGTGATCGGATTCTCTGCTCACACACAGCCCTTCCCCTCGCCACACGTGCTTGTCGTGTTTGTTTCACTTTGTGTCTCCTTCACCATGCTGTATAGACAGTACAGTTGGAATTGCACATTACACAGGCAGCAGCCCTGGTGAGTGCGACCTGCTTCACATGGCCTGGCGGGAGCAAAGAATCGCGGGACAGTTAGGGAAGGCTGGTGACTTCAACAACACAGTGCTAAACGCTAAATACCGCTTTGCGCTTCAGCTGGTAGAGCTCAAATTCCATTTTGCATGTTTGCAGCTTTCCTAATGAATCGAAGTGGGCATTTCTCTAGAAACCTATAGCTCGACGACGGGTTAGGTTTTGAGAATGTTAGAAAGGTTACGTAGGAGAGGAGGCCATTTCCGCTGTAACTGTTTTGTAGTTAGCGTCTATTTGATCCAAGAATGTCATCCAGCCATTGGCTGAAGGAAGCCAGAGTCCTGTGCTTCCTCTGCTCTTTGGATAAAGAAGTGCCTCCTGTTCTCGGTTTTAAATGCACTTCCACATAGCTAAAGCAACACAGAACAGCAAAGATACGGGATTGTCTGTAGTGTCTGTGGGACCTGAAGGGAGGTATGGTAGGAGCTTGAGAAGACAGTGAGGCCGTGAGAGTCTTGTAGTGACGTTGAGAGATTTCTCTCACCTCTCCCTCGTTGTGGAAGCAATTCTCACGGGGTTTCAAACCCGAAAAAGAAAGGAGAGTATCTTCATGTACCATTTCGTTCCTCCCCAGGGCCGTGGGATCTTCGCCAGCGGCAGCCCTTTCGATAAGGTGACGCTGCCCAATGGGCGGACCTTCTTCCCTGGCCAGGGCAACAACGCCTATGTGTTTCCCGGGGTGGCGCTGGGCGTGATAGCCTGCGGAGTGCGCCACATCTCCGACGACATCTTCCTCACCACTGCTGAGGTACTTCCTGTGCTGCCGGTGTCTGAGCTCCGTCTGCTGCCGCCTGCGTTTCCCTCTCTGACTGCGCTTGTGCCAGAAAGTGGCCGCCTGATTTCTGTGCTTGATGGTCAGAGGAAAGCGAAGACTGACACTCCTGGTAAAACTGAGGCTGCAGCTGGAAGAGGAGTTAGTGGGACCAGTAGGGGGTGCTCACATTGACGGGGACACTATACTGTATAAAGGCACCCTCTTTCAGATGAGATGTAAAACCGAGGTCCTTACTCTCTGTGGTCATTAAAAATCCCCAGGACGTATCTCGAAAAGAGTAGGGGTGTTACCCAGGTGTCCTGGCCAAATTTCCCTCTGACCTTTACCAGTCTTGGCCTTCTAATAATCTCCATCTCTGAACTGGCTTCATCACTCTGTTCCCTTCCCCACTGAGAGCTGGTGAGTGGGGAGTGTACTGGCGCACTATGGCTGCCGTCGCATCATCCAGGTGGGGCTTCACACTGGTGGTGGAGGGGATTCCCCATTACCTGTAAAGCGGTTCTGAGTGGAATGTGCAGAAAAACGCTACAGAAATGTAAGGAATTATTGTAATTAGGCTCAAATAAAGCCCATGTTTAAAATAAAGCAGCACCGTACAGTGGAGAAACCCAAACATCGCTGTTGACACTTGAGGGAAACACAAAGAAGGGACGCTCATCAGTGAAGCTGCTGCACCATGCTTTCTCTACCTATGTCTCTGTGTGTCTCTTCACAGGCCATATCTGAGATGGTGACTGAGGAGCACCTGGCTGAAGGCAGACTGTACCCTCCTCTCAGCACAATTCGGGAGGTGTCCTTCAAAATCGCTGTTAAGGTGCAACCTGCCGTTTGGCTCTTCAAACACTCTTGTTTTTCTGCCACTGGGATAATATCTATACAGCTTATGACATCACAAAACAACACCTAGGATCCATATGATTTACTTACTCAGTTTCTAAAGGACATAAGAGAACTAAATTGATTTGAGTCTGATTGCAGTTCAGTTGCTCACTGTTTAATTAAATTGGATCTGTTACATCTTACCATGATCATTTGAACTTAAAAGTCTCTTAACAATAACGTAATGAAATGCCCCAGTTTAGTTAGCGTTATGGTTTCTGTTAAGAATTTGATCATTTTTGTAGAAGCCTATAACTCAACTACAGGTTAGTTTTTGAGAACATAGGAGAGGAGGACATTCACCCCTTTTAGCCTGTTTTGTAGTTAGTAGCTAATTGATCCAAGAACGTCATCCAGCCATTTCTTGAAAGAAGCCAAGAGTATGAGCTTCAACAGCATGGCTGGTTGGGTGGCTTGTCCTGTACTTCCTCAACACTTTGAATAAAGTGGCTCCCTCTGTACAAGATTTAAAAAGCCTGTCAGTGTAGGACATTCCCTTAATGTCCCTCGCATGTATTTCTTGGGACTCTTGGGATTCCAAAGCAGTTTCTAGAATGAGATGACCAGAATTGTACATAATATTCTAAATAAAGCTTTACTAGTGTGCTACACAATTTTACATAACATCCCTTGAGTTAGTTTACATCTAGTTTGCTAACTATTCCAGACTAAATGTTTGATACAAATGAAGAAGACCAGTGGCCCTTGTACAGGTCCCTGGGGTACTCCACCAGTTACATCACTCCAAGTATTTAATAACCAATTCTCAATCCATACAATTTCATTCCCCTGGATGCTTGGCGCTTTCAATTTCAGAATTGTTTATGAGGATGTTTATTAAAAAAAAGACTTTGATCTTTGAAAATCTAAGTATACCATAACAAATGCCCCATGCATATCAATTACTGATGTTGCTTTTTGAATGAACTCTAATAGGTCGGTTAGGCAAGACCTGCCTTCTCTAAATCTGAGGTTACTGTTTTCTAGAATATTATTTCTGTGTGGGTGATTGTTTGGTTTAGTTAATATAGTTGTTTCTGTTACCTGACATGTCAGACTTATCGGCCTACTGTAGAATTACTGTACTTGGTTCCATTTTCCTCTTCTCATGGATGTGTATAGCATTAGTGATCCTCCAGCCTTGTCTCAAGCGACTGATGAAAGGAAATGCTGGGGGGATGTTGTGAGGGGTTGGTCCCAGCTCTTGTGGTAACAAAACAGTTTAACAATAAGACTTTGCGTTGGTGTAGTCAAGCTTTTCCGGTTCTTTGATTCTTTTTCCTACCGTGGGCGAGCCATTTGCGAACCATTCTGTCTCACCGTTCCATTCCTCCATTTTATGTTTGATGGACCTAAAGACAACACAACTCCATTCCTTTCTAGATTGTGGACTACGCCTACAAGAAAGACATCGCTTCCTGGTACCCAGAGCCTAAAGACAAAGCAGCTTTCGTCCGTTCCCTCATCTACAGCCCGGACTACGATTCCTTCACCTTGGACACCTACACGTGGCCCAAGGAGGCTGTGCAAGTCCAGGATGTCTAAGTGTTTAAGGCAGAGCAGTGCGTAGGAAAATGCTCAAGTTACTCCCACAGCCCTGAATCCTACAACCTATAAGAATAGCCTTGACTCTCGCTTCTTCAAGTTAGCTCAAGAGGCAGCAAAATCAATGCCACTTTTCAAGCAGCTGCAGCTTATAATATATTTGTTTAATCCATATTGATATTCTTTTTAAGATCATCCGTAACCTTATGAAGCAAACTCTGAGCCCACAGACAGTATCTGTGGGGCTTATGATGACAAGTATTTGATTTATTACTCTTTGAAACAGAAGTATTACGCTGTCCCTGCTTGGGATCAGCATAAAATTGAACATGTCTACCCTCAGCTAACTACAGCTCTGACACTCCCCTTGACTGTTTATAGCCGGTAGCTCCTGGGAGAGAAATACAATTCCCTGACTCTCATTTGTAGTAATACATCTTATTTTTATGCTGCCTTGAGACAAGAGTGCATTTGTGTGCAGAGTCATTTACAAGACTGTATTAACTAAGAGGCCTTTAACCCAAAGAACTGACAGCTCTGGTCCAGAGAACTGAGTCTCTGATATCTACTAGAATACTGTGGAGTGGTTTTTCCTGTTGCTAGACAAACCCTTTGACATTGGGTTACAGTTTCTCTATCTTCATTGCTCTACATTTCCTTCCTAAGATCAGTTATTCAGTACCAATGTGCATCTTTGGACGACATATAACACCCCACTCAATCACACACACAAACCCAACCATACACTTCTCAACACAATAAGTTATGGACCTCTTACTAATATTGAAAAGGGATAAGTGTGCTTTTTCTACAATTTGTGTGCCTGGGACAAACATGTTTGTGTTCTGCAACATCTAAATGCTGCAGCAAAGTCTGTCTCATTGTAAGCTTGACTTGTTTCTTGGTCATTGCCCTGTTTTGTAAGGTTTTTAGAGGAAAATACTGCCATGCAGTAATGCAGGTATTTGTAGTTATTATGATGGTTCTGGGATTCATGGGTGGGGTTTTCTTTGATGGCTGAGGACATATGTCAGACCAGATTGTTTAGGGCTATAACTCAGTTGTCCTTTGTGTTTCTCTGGCCTTGGTGCTGGGTTCTTCAGTTTTCTTTTTTATACAAACCCTGGTAAAAAGAAGTATAAAATGCATACTCATCTATGCTCTCCCCAAGTATGCATTGGGTGGTTTAGGGAAGTAGGTAAGTCCCTACTTGAGCCTAGAGGTTCACAGATCTAGAGCTTGTCCCCTTTACTGTAGCATGAAGTGAACTGCGACCAGTTCTGCAGGCCTGCTAGTCCATTGCAGGGTTGCTATTAGCAACGCTGGTTAACTCTATAAAGATGTGTGACATGAACCAACACAAAGTACCATGCTCATGGGTACGACAGCAGTGTCTGCAATGGCGGCTAAATGCTAAGCTGGTGCTGTAACAAGTGGAAACAGGCACTACCTTTACCGTTTTTGTTTTAATATCATCAATAATTTCACAGCAGTGTACAGATCCCTTCTTCCACGAAAAGGTGGAAGTGTTCAAAATGCAACGTGGAATAATGCAAAAACAGGCTGTCATTCATGGAAATGGTATAGCGTATATATATAATATATATATATAGTTCGCTATCTCCAGTGCTAAACATATCAACATAATGGAATAGGATTGGAGGCTTTGAAACACAGTAAATGAAGATGGGTATCTATTGGTCTGTCAAATGATGACAGAACCTATGGCTTTTTAAGATTTAACACCTCATTCTCATCGACAGACGGATGTTTATCATTAATCACAAAGCCATTATGCTGTAATGCATTAGTTTTATACTGTATGTTTATTGGTGCAATATTACTTTAAGCCAGTTGTTTCCCTTCAGTGCTTTGTATATCTAGAAACCTAAGCGCACAGTCCTGAACTGGCAAGTGGAGTATTTGAAGTTCTTATGCTGTATATTAGTTTTCAGAAAAAAAATCGTCATTATTGTTCCTATTGATCTTGTACAGCGACTACCATTGAAATCTTCAGTCTTGTGCCGCAGTCCAGAGCACTCTCAGGGACTTCAGTGATAACACCTACAAAGAACCCAGTTCTGTCCATAGTGATCATATGTTTTCTAATGCATTGCACAACAATTGTAAAGGAGAGGTGACTTTATTGAGACTGAAGACATTCACAAAGCTACTTCATTTTTTGTGAAACAATTAGAAATGTTCTTATGACATTTATTTTGACTGTTCCTTCATTGACATTTGCATTGCCTCCAATATGTTATATCATTGATGGGTTTATTGATGTTGTTCTCATGGTCATTGCAGAATTCCAGTGAGTTATAAAAGCCAGTTTTAAATAAATTCTAAGGGTTACAAAAACTGAATCAGGTGACTTTTTGAGTATATCTTTTAGACTCTTAACTGATTAAACAAACTTATGCAATAACTGTAAGTACAATTGAGAGGGGGCCGTTTAGCCTGTCTAGATCATTTTGATTTTAGTACCTAATTGGTCTAAGGAAAGAAGGAGAGGTTGTTTTGACAACATAGTTTGACAGCTTGTCCCAGACTTCCATAAGCCTCTTTGTCAAAGAGTATTGCCTGTTCTCCGTTTGAAATCCACATTCGTCTTCATGGTTCATGGTTCACCAGTGAAACACTGGTGAAGGTGAGAAAGCCTAAAGAGTAAACGTTATCATTGTCTTTGAGCAACTATTGAAGAGTTTTTTTAATTGCCCTTGAAGAACACAATTTGCATCTTTGAAGACAAATAGTAGAACACCGTCAGGCCTTGGGAATTTGGTTAAGTGCTTCTAGTTCCTGCACCATGTCTGCCCCTATTATACTAATATCCACTACAGAACTCTTTCCTCTGCCTCAGGCCTGTTGCCGGTTTCTTCCTTGGTAAACACCTGAGGGAATCTTCATTTACCACATCTGCCATTTTACCCTCTTCTCAGAGATTCCCGCATTTATCTCAACATTTGGGATTTGTTTCAAAATGTACAAATCTGGCACTCCAGAACAGTTGGAAGAGTGTTTTGTGTATCATCCCGATTCTTTAACACCAGGCGCAGTGTGTGTAGCATATGATGGGCTATGTCCAGTTGCTTAGCAGGTGATGTTAAGAAGTACAGGGGTTTCAGACGAATATCAGATTTATTAGGTGAAGCACCCATGAAAGAACAGAGCACTACCACTCACTGAAAACTGGGCACAGTCTCTGGAAGGTGGAATGTTGGAGCATGATGTGAGTGGAAACAGTCTGCAGGAAATTTTAAAAACAGGACTAGGAACTGGATACGTCTGCAGCAGTCAAACCATCAAGCGCGATCCAGGGATGTAGCGGGTGTCCTTCCAAATATTCGATTCCCCACAGTTGGTGGTTCGTCTCTTGCACTGGAAACAACGCCGGTATTTCTCACACTGATCCATCAAGAGCTGGCTGCCAGACCTAGAACAGGAAGGAACAGCATCCAGGTCTCAACAGGAAGAAGCTTTAAAATGATGCTGTACACACACACAGTGAAAAGCATAAGTATTGGGACAGCAAAGTAAAATTAGTAATTTTTGCTGTGTACTACTGACATTTGTATTTCAGATCAAAAGTTTAAAGGGGAATTGCAATGCTATTTCATATTTTGGGGTTGGAAAGAATCAGCAATGATGTGTGCATTTCAAACCGTAATAAAAGTAAAATGTACACAGTAACGTGTAAAACCTACAATTTATGTCAAAAAATAGACAAAACTTCCAGGTATGCACAGTGCCATATTCTATGATTCAAAACAAGGCAACAAAACTTCCAGTGCTGTGAAGTGGCATTGTAGATAAACAGGGTTGTGAATATTTCTCTTTAATCCAACAGAAATATTGCTTTCAATTTCTGACAAATACTACTTACTTGTAAACTTTGAATGCAGATCATGTTGGAACATTTCTGCAGAACATTTTTGCAGTGAAATGTCTGCTGTACAACCTGTGCTTATTCACTCGTACATCACATTATATTAGTTATTATGGAAACTAGTGAGCAGGAAGGGCTGCTTCACTTCACAATTCATGGGAACTCGAATGTGAGTTTGTGACACCAGGGCAGAAACTTATCGTACTTTCATAAAGTTTACAATTTTGTACTTAATTTGATTTTTTTTTTCTAGAACATCAACGAATTTATTTTAGTACTGAGATTTAATAA